AAAAAAAAAAAAAAAAAAAAAAATATATATATATATATATATATATATATATCAGTTGATTGTAGCTTAAGGAAATCCAGATATAAGGGCCCTTTGGCCTTTGGTAGTTTTATGCTTCTATTGTCAATAAATTTGCCACACAAAAGTACGAAAATATATGTGTCCCAACATGTTTCAGGGTTTGTCAAACTAAGGTCCATGAGCCTCATCCAGCCCCACTGTTTTTATAAATAAAATTTTATTGGAACACAGCCATGTTCACTAGTTTATGTATTATATATGGCTGGTTTCACATAACAGAGTTGAGCAATTGTTACAGAAACCTTATGGCTTCCAAAAACAAAAATATTTACTATCTGGCCCTTTGCAGAAGAAGTTGGCTGATCCCTGTGTTAACAGATGAGAGTAATACCAAAGGAGGATTACATTAGCTTTGCTTTACATCATTTGCTTTGGTGTCTTTCAGCTTAATATAGGCCCAAAGTTAATGAAGAAACATGTAGGCAATAGTAATGGCAGAATATGTTTTCTTGTTATTTCTGAGAACAGAAAACTTTTCTAGACTATCATGCTGTGATGATGAGTGCATAAGAACAGAATTAGACATTTAAAAATGTTTTATACTAGGGCCGAGCCCGTGGTGCACTGGCTGAGCGCGGTGTGGCCGGTCTCACAAAAAAGAAAAAAAAATGTTTTATACTAAAGCAATATGCAAAGTAAATATGAGGGGAAAATTTTTAAATGCTGTACCCACTTCATGGATTCCTTAAAGCCCATCCAGAAACCCCTCTTTTGTGAAATAACAGTAAACATGCTATTCCACCCATTCCTCCTTGGCGATCTCATCTACCTCTGGGGCTTTAAAGACCTCTACATGTGAATGACTTTATTCTCCATCTCTAAACCAGATTTCTCAGCTCATGTGTACAGTTGCTTTCTGGACAAATACACTTGCATTTTCCACCAGCACCCCAAACTCAACTTGTCCAAAGCTAGACTAATCAACTCCATTTCCCCTTCTCTCCATATCCTAGTGTTCCAGCTCTAATAAACTTCCTAAGCTCCAAGAACATACCTTTCTCTCTGTTACTTCTAGGGCTTTGTACATCCTGTACCCTCTGTCTAAAATATCCTTCCCTCACCTGTCTCATTCCTGTTCCTTCCTCCTTTCAGATATATCTCCTCTGGGAATCCTTCCCTGACACTCCCAGACATAAGCACTCATCACCCTGTCTTATAACCTCTTGTTAACCTAGCTAGCTTTCTTTTTAAATAGCAAGTTCTTTATGTAAGCACAGCATGACCTTTTTAATCTTTATTTCTCCAGTGCACAACACAGTGATCTGCCACTGAGTAGATGCTTAATGAATCTTTGAAGTAATAAATGAATGGAAATATGAATTCTCATTCTAGTTACTGCTGTCAAATGGCTGTGACATAAGTTATGGTCCAGAATGGAGACTTAACATAGTCTAGGCAGATAGAATTGTAGGATTTTAAAACTAGAAGGATAGATTATGTGATCCATAGAATACAAGGTTCATTGTAGTGGCAGAACCGGGACCAGAACTCTGTCATCCCTCTAATTCATTATCCACAAGTTGGCTCTTTCTGCTAAAACTAGGTCATCTCACAGAGGATTTTTAGAGCAATGAAACTTCTTTGTATGATACTATAATGGTGGACACATGTCATTATACATTTGTCCAAACCCATCGAATATACAACACCGAGAGTGAACTCTAATGTAAACTATGGACACTGGATGGTAAATATGTCAGTGTGAGTTCACTGATTGTAATAAATGTACACTCTGGTGGGAGATGTTGATAATGTCAGGGGGCAAGGGTTATATGGAAAATCTCTGTACCTTCCTCTCAATTTTGCTTTGAACCTAAAATTATTCTAGAAAATAAAGTTGTAATAAATGTACACTCTGGTGGGAGATGTTGATAATGTCAGGGGGCAAGGGTTATATGGGAAATCTCTGTACCTTCCTCTCAATTTTGCTTTGAACCTAAAATTATTCTAGAAAATAAAGTCTTTTAAAAAGCAATTAAATAAAACAAAAAGACCAATATTTAAAAAACAACAAACAAAAACAGGTTATCTGGTAAGAAAAACTGTCCATTCCAACATGAACAGTTAAGATTTGCAATGAAGCTAGAACAGAATATCAAAAAGCATGCTGTTGTACTTGGAGTCTTTTATTTATTATTTAACTTTAACCCCACAGGATAATATCCTGAAAATGACAGTTATCTTTTCCCCCATCACATATACGAGGGTACTTCAAAAAGTTCATGGAAAGGTTCATGTTATCTTTTAATTGTTTTCCACGAACTTTAACATTTATATAAAGTTTCCCAAAAAAGGCAAGTCTGTAGAGACAGAAAGCAGAACAGTGGTTGCCTGGAACTGGAGGTGAGAACAGGAATTGACTACAAGAGAATTTTTTGGGGGATGAAAATGTCTAAAGTGGATTATGGCAATGGTTGCATAACGCTATAAATTTACTAAAAATCATTGAATTGTGCAGTTACAATGAGCATGTGTAGATTATGTCTCAATAAAGCTTAAAAAAAGGGGGGAAAAGAGAAGAGCCCATGAAGAAGACTGAGGAGGAGTGACCAACAAAACTTTCTCAGTATTTTTTATTTTCACACATGGGTTTTTCTTATCTAATTTTTTTTTCCTTTTCAAGTAACTTTTATTGCACAAATAGTGTATGTTCATATATGTTTTTTACACTTAAAAATTCTCGTTAGCAAAAAAGAACAGAAAAAACATACATAGTCCTGCTACACAAATCAACATCTTAGTGAATGAAAAGCATTCTTCCAAACTTACATATTTATTTATGTCTGTATATTGAGATTTCCTACCTTAATTTAAGCAACTAAATTTTTTCCCTACTCTGTTGTATAAGATTTTTAACTATATTGTGACAGATCCTTCTGGGTTTTTTCTTTTATGGGGTTAATAAATTTATAGTGTATTCACATAAATTAATTTGTGTCAATTTGCAGGAATGGTTCCCCAAGGTGAGGCCAATTTCGCTCCAACTCTAAGCCCTGGGAGCTCCATGGTACCAATGCCAATCCCTCCTCCTCAGAGCTCTCTACTCCAGCAAACTCCACCTGCTTCTGGGTACCAGTCCCCAGACATGAAGGCCTGGCAGCAAGGAGCAATAGGAAACAACAAGTAAGCGAGCAGTTTTTATATATGAGCATCCCTAATAATCTGTAGCACCTAAGAACAGCCATGCTGTCATGGGCTGATTGTATTTTCAGTCTAAAGAGATTATTGGCTACTGCCATTTGCATAATGGAAGGAAATAGAATTTTATGTAATAGCAAAAAAAAAATAGTGATTTTTAATCTTTTAAGTAAAGTCATTTTTAAGGCAAATTTGTGTGTTTATAGTACAGAAAAGTAGTCTAGTGGGTCCCAGCACACCTGAAGAATATTATCAACTCCCATCAGTGACAGAGCTTCCTTGGACAGATGTAGAAATGAGTACCCTTTAAAAAAGTCTTTTTTATAAGAACACTTAAAAATCTTACAAACGTATAGCAGGAAAGGCAAAATGTTAGAATTCAATAGAGTTGAGTAGTGTGCACGTAGTTTTCACTCTCTTCAGTATGTTTAAAAAATTTCATAACATCAACAAAAGATTTTAACACTTCTTGGGTCATTCTGCCTTACCCCCTTTTTAAAAAAAAAAAAAATTTTATTGAATCAAAATTGATTATACATATTTTTGTGGTTCAACATTGAGATATGTTGATCAAATCAATATTACTAGCATATATAGTTACAAATTGTAATTATTCCTTATGCCCTTTGTCCAATCCTGCCCCATCCCCCTTCCTCTCCCCCTGCGCCCTCTAATCACCCTAGATTTCTTCTCACCCTCTGAAAGAATAATGGTTACTCTGTTAATCTGCTGCCCAAATGATCTGTCCAATGCTGAGAGGTATGATCAGGTCCCCCAATACTATCATAGAGCAGATGTCTCTCCCGTCACTGTGAAATGGGTTCTGTGGAGACAGACATCCTCCTCCTTTCTTTATCTCTGCTGGTGACTCTCCTTGTGTCAATTCACTCCAGTGGTTGGTGGACCATCTGTGTGGTGGTGTGGCATCTAGCCATCTTCATGGCAGCCATGGCTATCGTGGTGGCTGTGGTGGGCCACTCACATAGGGGACATGTTTTTGGCCTGCTCCGTGGTGCTGGCAGTGTGCCTGGTTGTAGAGAGTGTCTGATCCCTGGTTCCATGCCCTGGGTCCCCGAGTGGATCCTGAGGGTGTGCCTGGTTGTGGGGGGGGGGGGTCCAGTCCCCAGCTCCTTACCCTCAGTCCCGAGGCACGCCCCAAGGCGCTGGCACAGTGTGCCTTTTTGTGGGAGGGGGTTTCAGTCCCCTTTTCCATGCCTCGAGTCCACTACAGGCCCCAAGGCACTGGTGCAGTGCCTTACACCTTTTTGAATCTCTAGATTTTCAGTGGCCTCATCTTGTTGCTTTGCCTCCCACAGATTTGTCACCCCTTTTCCACTGGGTGATGGAGCTGCCAAAGATTACTCAAAGCCCATCTCTTTTGAGCAGTGAGAAGCCCCAGAAACGGGTTAATATCCCAGAACTTCCTCAGTCATGAGGCATTTCTTCCATTTGGGAAATTAACCATGAATTGGGGTTCTCTTCCTGCCTTTATTCTCCAGACCAAGAAGTTACAGGAAGGGACATAAGTGGGGTTTTGCTAAGTACCCTTTAACAAGTTTTACAATAGAAGCTGGTAACATTCAGTAAAAACAAGTCAGATTACATTCCGTTAGGCAATTAAGTGATCCACTAACAAAGGCTTGATTTATCAAACATTCCTTTTCACTCCAGCAGCTTTTTAGTAACTTTACATATTTATTAGTAACTTGTCTGTCTTTGAGCCAGCAACCTTGCTGTGTTACAATTCTTATCTTGCAACAGAGATTCAATAGTCTGTAGAAAATTTCCTGTCCTTTGCAAGGTCAATATTTGAAACTGCAAGGCTTTGGAAAACCAGGCCCTGTGAAGTACATATGCTTTTTAGTATATTCCACACATCTTACCCTTTTTGCTTAGAATTACCTCACTAAAGTCTTTTTTTTTTCCTAAATCCTGGCTGCTGAACTTTTCACACATCACTTGAGTTTTGTAAGGATTTTAATTTGGTTGTGTCTTGGTTCTAATGACAGGGAAGCAGTTTGATCTGACAACATAATAAGTAAGGCAGTTAAAGTTTAAAACATGCGACTGTGTTCTTTTAAAGTTCATTGAAAGGTGAGAGAGGAAATCTTCCTGTTAGAGAACTGTGTAGCTCTCAGTGAGGACCATTTATAAATTAGGTAGAAATGGAATTGTTTCTGTAACATGCAAGAGGAATTTAGTCTCCTAATGTTTTGTAATCCCAACTTCCTTTACTCACTTTATTTTTATTTTATTTTATTTTTTCCAGGAATTTAGTCTCCTAATGTTTTGTAATCCCAACTTCCTTTACTCACTTTATTTTTATTTTGTTTTATTTTTTCCTTTTTTTTTTTTGTCTTTTTTTCGTGACCGGCAATGGATCGCAACCCTCAGTGTCACGCCTGTACCGGACCGGGACCGGCAACGGGATCGCAACCCTCGGTGTTGCACCCGCACCTCGCTCAGCCAGTGAGCGGCCGGTCTGTATGTGGGATCCGAACCCTTGGCGGGAGCACCGCCGCACTTCCAAGCGGCGCACTGTAGCAGTGTGCCACCGGGCCGGCCCCCCTTTACTCACTTTAGATTCCACGGTCCATCATTATAATTACTCCTTTACTGACACTTTCAATTCCCTTGCCCAGCTCTCCCGTTGTTGCACTTGTGTCTGGCCAAATTCTTAATGAAATCGAACTAAACTCTTGCTCCACACCTCCGTCTTAGCATTTAAATATGGGTTGGAAAAAATAGTCATACTGATGTTTCACTATGTCCATGCTCCCCTTTACAGTTAAATTTCTTAAAACACTATTCTCTGTCCACTTCCTCTCCTCTGAGTCCTTGTTGAAGCAGTCACGCCTTCATCCCTACCATTGCTCCAAAAGTGTTCTTGTCAAGGTGGTTAACGTCTTCTACAATGCCAGTGCAGTGCTCATCAGTAACATTTGACATATATTTGAACGTTTATTCTTTTCAAACCTCTTTCTTCATTTGGTTTCTGCAACAACTTTCTTGAAAAAGGTGACTCTCCTATCTCTTAGTCTGCTTTGCTGGATCTTCATCTCCCTGACCTCCATTTGAGGGACCCAGGATTCATTCTAGGACCCCTTCCCCATATCTACTCACTCCATTGGTTACAACACTCAGTCTTATCACTGTAATCGCCTGTCTCTAGGCTTATGACTCCCAAATTTAAGTCTCCAGCCCAGACAGCTCCCCTGAACATAACATTTTATATCCAACTGCCTAACAGAATCTCCACTTAAAAGTCTAATGGACATCTCAAACTTAACGTGACAAAAACTAGTGTTATATTCTCCCCTAAACCTGCTTCTCTTCCACTTTCCCCATCTCAGTAAATGACAACTCCATTCTTCCAGTTGTTCAGAAGAAAAACCTTTACTCTTTCTCTCATGTATCCCATCAAACACATCAGCAAATCCTGTCAGCTTCTTAGCAGCTCTCCCTTCTTCCCTATTCCATGTACACACTGTAGGGCAAGCCACCCTCATCTTTTTCCTGGACTGTTGTAGGAGCCTCCTGTCTCCTCCTTCCACCCTTGGGCCACTATGGCTTAATTTCTACATGGTAACCACAGTGATGCTTTTAAAACATGAGGCAGTACGTTAGTCCTTTCCTCAGAACTCTCCATAGCCCCCAACTTACTCAAAATTTGAAATAGGGCCTCTAAAGCCCTACAGCGCCTTGCTCCCACATACCTCTCTGACCTCATCTTCTATTCTCACCACTTGCTCTGCCACACTGGCTTCAGTTCATTCTTCTGTTCCTCAGATGTGCCAAGTACATTGCAAACTCAAGGCATTTGCAGCTTTTAATCCCTCTGCTGGAAGGTTGCTCTCTCACACTTCAAGCCTCCCCTTAAATGTCAGCTTATTACACTTCCCTGACCATCTGAAATCACACCATTTTCCACCCCTGCCCTCCTTTTCGTTTCTCACTTTTCTTCATAGTGACGAACACCTGACATATTGTACAATAGTTGATATATTTATGGTCTGTCTCCTCCAACTAGAGTATAAGCAAAGTCCTTTCTCTGTTATGAAGAGCAAGGACTTATTTCTTGTTTGCTTCTGCATCTCCATCCTCTAGGACAGGTAGGCACTTCATATACATCTACTGAATGAATGAGTGCAAAAAATCCCTATTCCTAAGCCACCTCTTGGATTCAGGTTCAAATGTGGCCAGGGATTTTGTTGTATTTTAGTAGTTTCTGTGAACTTTGATTTTCCCAAATCTTTTGGGAAAGAAAGTAATTACCACCAGCTCTTCAAACATCCACACTTATTTGTTTCACATGTAGAAGCTCATTAGTCAACACAGGAATCATATTAGCATATATGCTAATAGAGATAGTGACACCTCTCTCTATCACGGGATGCAAAATACCACGAGGGACATGGAAAAACAGCCCTTGCTGCCAGGTAACCAAGAGTCTAGTTTGAGATGGGGAGAGGTTGGGGAGAATTAAAATATGAAACAATAAAAGAATCAGTAAGGAAAACGATATAGTAGAATTCAGAGACAGTGTAATATGATTGTTTTTCATTATCTCTTGGTGGCAAGAGAAAGAAAGGGTTAAACGAAACCTGTGTGTCCTGGAGCTAGGCAGTGTTTCTGTGCAACATTCCTCTGGTGGGAGACTTCCCAATGCTTATTAGTATTTTAATGGCAAAGAAGTCCTCTTTAACCTTGTGTTTCTCAGTCTGACCAGGGAATCCTCCCTGCTTATTAATACCTGTAATATCTATGGAACCCATCGTGGGCCAGAGTCTTCATCTTTCTCTTTTTTCTCCATGGTTTAGGGGCTACCAAATACCTGGTGTTACCCTGAGGAAATTTTGATCACTGCCACAAGGCAGACAGGAAAGCAAAGTGAGGGAGAGGTCCTGTGATAATTGGACTTCAGGTGCCAGTAAACCCAGCTGTCCTTTCCAGGACCTGGGACAGTGATTGAGACTGCAGAAGGGCTTGGTCAGGTTCCTTTGGTGGAAGAAACTAAAATGAAACTATTGGGAGTAGCAGTTTGAAAGAATGAATGTTAATATACAGTCCCAAATATAAATTTGAAAGGAAATTAAGCCCTAAGGTTTTTTTCCAATAAGTATGACATCATTGCAGTCCTTGAAGCTTCTCATGCATTAACTTACACAGCCTTGTTCCTCCACAGTGGTGATTTTTATATCACTTGACAAATGAGCATTGTCTAAGGCAGAAATGTTCTCATTAGAAAATGGGCATAGCTTGATAAGTTTTTTTTTTCCCTCATCTTTGGTTGTGTGAACACTGCCCCACAAGTATACACACTGTGCAGACATTGGTGGTCCACAGATGCATTATTGACCATGTCCTAGGCATAAAATTTTCTGTTGGCATTTGTGTGTTATAGTTACTTGGGAGGAAATTTGCTACTTTTCTTCAGACATGGTGGAATAGGCCATTTCTTGGCTTGTTTATTTCACTGTGATTTCCTTAATCTACTGGAAGCTATAATTATCAGTATATCCTGCTTACCTACCTGAGAGTTAGCAAAGAATATGTAAGCCATTGATGGGAAAAATCATTTTTAAAATCAAATTATCTGGAATTAACATTAAAATAGGTGGAATTTTACTAGCAGTTTATTGTTAACAACGGTATATAATCATAAAATACTTGATGTTTTATAGAACTTATGAAAGACAAAATTCCTACTGTTTTCTTTTAGATGTATATATTTGTATCACTGAGAATTTTCAGGATTCAAATATAAAGTTTCAAGTTGGATTTTCTTGGAGTTCATTCCATGCTATTCTGCCTGCTAATAGAAACTGATTTCACATCTGAGATCTTTGGTATAACAACAGTCCAAAACTTGGCCATGAAGAAGGAAACCAGTAAAACAAACCCTTTGAAAAAATGTAATCACCCTTGTATTTTGCTTCCTAGAAAATATATGAAGCTATGTTCAGGCCTGAGGAGACTTCTGAAGTCTTTATAAACACTAGGTTTGCCAAATAAAAACATCTGGTTATATGCATCTGGTTTCCCCTTAGTTTATAGCATATTAAAAGCAGCCAGAAACTAAAACCTTGGGAAATGACAGCAAGTGCAGGACATTGAATAAAGGCTCTTAAATTTTAAAGTGCATAAATAGTTAGAAATTTACCATTCCATACCCACCCCCAGAAACTGTGATTCACTAGGGCTGGAGTTAGAACTAAGAGTCTCAATTTTTAATAAGTCCCAGGCAATTCTCTTGTAGATGGTCTCTGGACTGCACTTCGAAAAACACTGGCATAGACGGTTGGCTCACTTGGGAGAGCTTGGTGCTAACAATACCAAGTTAAGGGTTTAGATCCCCCTACCGGTCATCTTTTTAAAAAAAAAAGAAAAACACTGGCGTAGAGACAGTAAAAGCTATAAATAAGAAAGCAACATGAACCTCATCAATTGACAGCACTGAATAATAAACCATGGCCATAACATGTTCATTCATCAGATATTTTACTGAGTATATTTATATGTCACTTATAAGTAGAGATGAGGAATAAGTGGAACAAGAGACCATCATTCCTCTCAGGTGTTAAGTCTAAGAGGATATACAAACAATCACAATGTAAGAATGCTATCCTTGAAGCATTCATTTCTTTGTTAATTTATTCAGTGAGCACTTATTGAGGATATATATATATATATATGTATATATATATGCCAGACATTTTGCTTGAATATATTAAATATTTTCTGTTTAAGAAGATAAAATAGTGTAATAAATTTTAGAATGGTTTTGATGGTTAAATGGTTAAACTTCAGTTACCTGGAGGATTTACTTATGTGGGGAACTTCTTTTCTTAATTATTTAGATAATTAGAGCTTAGCTTCTCTGCTATTGGGCCAGATAAAAGTTCTTGGGCAGAGTTCAGAATGTATCTGAATCATATTCAATCCTTATATATTATAATAAGATACAGTCTTACATGTAACTTACGAATGTAAAATATTTTATTTAGAATTCTGTCTAATAATTTAGAACCTAGTCACTCTGTCCCCATGTTCATGATCAGTGGATGTAATCTGGATTGTTTTTGAGTTAACAGTGTGTTCACTCAAGCTATTCAGAACCAGCCCACGCCTGCACAGCCAGGAGTGTACAACAATATGAGCATCACCGTGTCCATGGCAGGTGGAAACACAAATGTTCAGAACATGAATCCAATGATGGGTCAGATGCAGATGAGCTCTTTGCAAATGCCAGGCATGAACACCGTGTGCCCTGAGCAGGTAGGTGGAACAACTGGCACACCTGCTATACACATACCACAGCACACCACAGTTCATTATTGCACAGAAAATCACATATATTGACAGTTACTCATCAGAAATAACCATGCTTCTTTATTCTTTCCCACCATCTTTTGATGATTACTGGCCTTTAAGATATACAGTGGAAATTTTTGACAGACTTTAATAAATTTTAGTCTCATGAGATTTTAGTGGTTTAGATTTATTATACAATGGTACATATAATACGTTGGCTTGAAATACCCCTTTATATTTTTTTTTTTTTTTTTCATCTCAGACATTGTAGTTTTCATATCTAGAAGTTAGTTTTGGGTCCTTTTAATATCTTCCACATCCCCAACATATCTTTTGTATCTGTTCAGTCTTTCCACTTGCTTCTTGAACATATGTAATATGGTTATTATTATAATTGTCTTGATATCTTCACCTATTCTGTCATCTGCATCATTTTGGGTTGATTTCAACTGATTTCAGTTGACTTCCCTTCTCATTATGGGTCATATTTTTCTGCTTCTTTACATGCCTGGCAGACATGTGAATGCCAGACTTGTGAATTTTACCTTGTTTATATTCGTATAAATATTCTTGAGTTTTGTTCTGGGAAATGGTTAGGTTACTTGGAAATGGATTGATCCTTTCAGGTCTTGCTTTTTTCGTTGATGGGACCAAAGGAGTATTTAGTATAGGGCTAATTTTACCCTGCTATTGAAGCAAAACCATTCTAGTATGCTACCTGATACTACATGAATTATAACATTTTCCACTCTGATTGGTGGAACCAGGACCTATTCTCAGCCCTCTGTAGTCTTTGGAAATTATTCCATGTCATCTGTTCAGGTGACTCTTTCCCCTGCATCCATAAGCAGATCAGTATTGAATACAGACTTGAGAGCCTCTGCAAATTATTTCCAAAGCTTTCTCTCTGGGAAGCTCTCCTCCAATATTCTGCCCTGTGGATTCCAGCTGCATCTCCTCAACTCAGGGAGCCTGCCAGGCTCTGCCTGGGTTGAGGAGATGCAGCCTGGAAATGTTCTCGAGACAGTAGGCTGAGCAATTGCCACCATAGGGACTCCTCTTAATTTTTTCCCAGCTCTTAGGGATCACTGTCCTTTATTGCCTTTGTCCAATGTCTTGAGTGCCTTTGTTTCACATATTTTGTCCAGTGTTTTAGTGATTCAGGCAGAATCACTAAATCTGATAAATCTGATCCCTGTTACTGAATCTTGACTGAAGTGGAAGTCTTTCACTAATTAACTATGTGTGTGTACATGTGCATGTATGTGTTTGAATTAACTTTTTTTTTTTTTTTTTCCTTTTTGTTTTTTTTCGTGACCGGCAACGGATCGCAACCCTCAGTGTCGCGCC